CAAATAACTTTTCCATTGACTCACATTTTCACTAACACTAGCACCTTCATACAGTGTTTTCTAGAAACTCAAGGCTGAAAACCAAGCACGTTATATCACATAAGAAATTATACAGTTAAATAAATATAAGCTGGATACTTAGTAAGGGACCAAAATGATCATAAGCCTAGTTGCTGCAAGCCTGGTATTACTAACTCAAACAATTAAATGATTCATTATTTTAAGTGGAAAACTTTCCTCATTATGATGCATCTACATACACTTAACCTTCTACTTTATGATATGTTTGAAAGACATATGAGGCACATAATTAAATTTTGGTTAAAAGGAACAAGGAGAACTTTAACTTTTTTCTTTTAAGAAGTATTCTGAACTTCAAAAGCTATAGTAATTATTAATCTTATTGTTACTTGACTACGTGACATCGTATGAGTTAGGGAATATTTCCTTGGTCCTGAAAGTCGCTCCATTTCTCTCAAAGCTTGCCAAGAATTATACAGAAAGTTATATTACCCTAGCTATGAATGCAAGCTGAGTGCATTCTAAAGACATATAGCTAAGTCATCCTCTTAAGGGTAACAAAATTACCCATTCTTGCCCACTGGATAAATACCATCATGTCAAATGAAGTTATTTTCTCAATTTATTCCAATTTAGTGTTAATATGCTGAATTCTGAGTTTTCTTGAAGTCTCAGTAACATAATATCGCACAGACAAATAATAAATAATGTCAACTGTCTTTCAGTTCCTTACACCTGCCATGCTCCTTCCTACCACAGGGTATCTGCATATGCAATTTCCTCTGCCTGGAATGCTCCTCCTTCCTCTCTGTGCCTCCTTAACTTCTTCCCTTCCTTTCTGACTCAGCTTCAGTTTCACCTCCTCAGGAAGCACTCCAGACTTTACTGATCACATCAAATTTCCCTTTAAGGACTCACAGCACCATGTCCTCCTTCGTAGCACTTCTCATGATTGAAACTGTCTGCCATCTTCCTCAACAACTGTGGGCCAGGTCTGTTTCGTCTCGCTTTTGCATTCTCAGTTTCTACCCTCATACCAGGCAGACAGCAGTAGCTAATAATTACCAGTTGATTAATGAATTAATTCATTAATATTTTTATCTCTCAGGTACTTTCTTCAGTTGCTATTTTTAATAACCACTGAGAACATTTTCATATTTTTATTTATACAGATAGGCTGTTAACCTCACTTAATCTTTCATTATATATAGCATCTCATGTATGGAAAAGGCTAATTTATACTGAGAAGTGGAAGCTAAATGGATTTTGGAGTCAGGAAGCTCAGGGTCTAAACTCTAGCTTGGTACTTAGAAGCTGAGAGATTACAGACTGATGATTTAATACCTTGGATCCACTATTCCCTTGCCCTGGAAACAGTTGGGAATGTACTTCTCCACATGCAGGATGGCTATGATCATTAAATGTCATACTGTACGTGAAGGGCTGGGTACACAGTAGTACTGGGAACATGGCTTACTACTTGTAAGATTGCTTCAGTTTTGAGGCATAAATTGAAAGTTACAAGTAAGTAAGGCTGTCAAGTGAATCATAGTCCTTACATATACCATGAAGACCTCACTTTGCAGAGATGATGATGAATGACTTGTAAAGGAAACGCTTCATTTATCCATTAACAATAATCATTATGTGAAGAAAAAATTTACAGGGTTATAAAAATTAAGAAGTTTCTTTTAAGTATCAGTCATGGAAGAGCTTCAGGCTGCAAAAGTAGAAATAACTAGGGAAATATATCAATTTTCCCAATGACCACGGCTGCTGAAAACTCTACATTAATGCTTCTAGTCCTACTTTAATATCTTTCCCCAAGGACAAAAGGAGATGAAATGTATGTCAGAAATATAATAAGGCTAAAAAGAACTCGTTTTGAAAACCCCTGCAATTAATTTAACAAGTGGGCCTAACCTGCCATTGTCACTGATACAAGCCATTTTATTTACACAGTTCTAGAATTTAGGAGATGAATACCTTCAAACAACTGCATTGCACTGCATTATAAACAGTTTAATAAACACACAGGAAGCACAGCTTTCCTGTCATGGTTATCCATGGTAGATTTTTCCCTTTGACATTTTTTTCACACTGGAGCTTAAACAGCATCCTTCAATCCCCATGCTGAAATAAACTCCAAATGGTCCAAATATGTCAAAAGCCTCGTGCTATCCAACCACACCACACCACAGTTTTTAGTCTTTCCACATCATATTTAGCAATTAATTCAGGGTTTAATCATGTCTTTGTTTTCCTAATTTTTCGCAACAGCACAGCCGCCACGTTTTCTTTCAAAGGCCACTGAGTGACGTGCAAAGCTCCCCACAAAGGTAAATCTGGCACTGTCCTCATCACCAAGCAAGAGCTACTATTTAGCATTACGGAGTGGGTTCTGTTCCCCAGCTGTAACCTCTCAATAAGCACATGCAGCTGGATTTTTGTTGCTGGTATTGAACAAAGCAAGTTAAGCACTACACAACACCAACACCAGAAACTGTCAGCCTTCAAAGCAAGCGGGGCTTGAAATGCGAGATGCTGCTACACATTTTCATCTCATGACGACAGAAGTCTAAACTCTCAGGCATCTCATGATTCTTTCAGGAAAAAATCTTATGTTCATGGTTTTCTTAATCTTTACTATATCATATTCACTATTGAAATGGAAATATTCTATAAAATTTTGTTCTCAAAAGCCTGTGTGTATTGCACACAGTTTTCACCCTGATACATTTGTGTATGTGTAAATGTGTGTGTCTGTGTCTGTATGTTTGTACAGAGGGAATATTTTCCTGCAAAACTGCAGCAGATGGAGAAAACACATTTTAGTCTTTCACAATATGCAGGTAAAACAGTAAGAGTACATTTTAAGACATCTGAGTAGTCCTGAATATTATCACTAGTAAATAATCACACTATCGTTAGGATTGTGATGTAAATGGTTAAAAGGACATTCTAAGTAAAGATTTTGTTTTATTCTGTATTCAAATACTTTGTTCAATAATTGAAAATTATGTCCTTGAAAATAATTTGCCCCTATTATTTACTTTCCCAATTTATTTAACATTTAAAGATGACCTTGAAATGAGAAGAAATACTATTGTCTCCTGTTAATGTTTTTGTTCTACATTAAGAAGACTGTACTTGATAAATCATCTGCTATTTACACTGAATTTCATTTATTTTTTGTCTGTAGCTAAACTTTAGAAATTTAGAAAGTTTACATAAAAACTTTCCATGCTCATATCCATATAATACTCAAAATGCCATCATCATTATCTCTCAAAATACAGATATTTGATACCGCTATTATATATGGTTCAACATAGAAC